CCCCCCCCCTTTTTTTTTTTTACTTTTTCCAATTGGATCTTAACATCAGTTGGGCACACAAAGGTACCTCAGACGACCGTCGTGAGAATATTAATCCAAAATCATGATTCGGCACTTCTTTTTCGCTTTCACTTGTGTTCTGTTGCTGTATTTTCTCTGCAAATTTAATTTGAAATAGGTAACCACACAACCAACAAATTTCTGAGGTAGGTCACACCGTTTATGTAAATTTGTGCTTAAACTAACTCCAATCTTAGGTAAGAGGATATGTAGTTTTAAAATAACAATAGACTCGAACATTGATATTTGAGGGAGGTCTGTCTAAAAAACATGCATGTCAGTTTTTTTTACCAAATTTGATTCCCCTTTAGAAATCTATGTTTTATGTCAAAATATTTATTTGCAACAAAAGAAAGTAAATTGTTGTATGTGAATATTTGTTTGTTATAGTTTGTTCTATTTATACATTCAACATGTAGACTTTGTTGGTGAGAATTTATTACTTTAGATTTTTGCCATCTAGTGTGATTTGTTTCTAGGTGACGGATTGCATTATCACCTAGGAAGAGTTGAGTCGCTTTTTGGTTACAGAAAATAGTTCATTGACATTCATAATATGTAGGTAAAGTTAAGTTATTTTTGGTTACAAAAATAGTTATTCTTCACTCTATAAACATAGAAAATAAACAAAATTATCCATTTACTATAATTATCTAATCTTCATTGACATTCGTAATACTTAGGTAAAGTTAAGTGATTTTTTATTGAAAAAAAAATTACGTTCATGTAATAAAGTAAAAATTAGGTGACCATTCATGAAATTAACCCCACAAAATGCTGTAAACAAACCAGCTAAAAGGAAGTCGAGAATATCGATCATTGCTTCGAACACATAATAAATTTAAGAAATACTTCAATACAACCATCAAGTATGATTACAAATCTTTATTTCATAAATCACTTAACACCGAGAGACATACAAAATGTAAATCACTTATCATCATGATACACCGAAACATTTGGCCTAGGCTCAAACTCTTCGGCAAAAGACTTTTCTTGTTTGAGACCGGCATCATCATGATGATAACTAGATACATTAGGCCTTGGCTCGAACTCTTTCGAGAATAATGATTTCTCAGCTTCTTTCAGCTTGGCGTCATCGTGGTATACAGATACATTAGGCCTTGGTTCAAAGGCTTCACCTCCAACAGAAGATGATGTGTAACAATCCGTTTTCTCTTTGGAGAGAGGAACTGAATGCCGAGGCATAAGATGTTTGATTGCTTCAGGCATTGGCTCATTTTTCATCACATCTCTCCAATATTCTCCGGGGTCTTTTCTTGCATCACTGTTGCTTGTGTACTACCCAAGAAAGAGAAACCATAAAAAGACTATTGGATATGTGCTATATGAACTTCTTTACGATCGAGTACATAATCTATATACACAGATATGTTCAAATATTTGGTACATGAAAGGGGGGGTGGGGGTGTATAGGCTTTAATATATGGGTTCGATATAACCCAATAATTTTGGCTAAAGTCTTGTATATGTATCAAGAAATTCACTACGTATATGTATAAATTAAATTCAGAACACATTTATTAACACTTGAGAACGTCCTAAATCAAGAACCCACAAAATTCTAATATTAGATCTACCTTTGTAGGTACTGCACATGTAAATATTGGGGTATTATCACTTCTATCCCATGCCAGACACTATTTAAATCTGGTAGCCGAAAAAGTGTAAAATTTGTATAATTTTTATATATACCATACAGAATATATATATATACAAAATATACAAATGTTATATATTTTTTTGGCTATTATTTTTACAGCGGCTATAAAGTGTCATTTTTTCGTAAATATTTAGTGTGGGCACATAAAGTTCTACGTAAAATTCTATTGCATTTTGAAGAGTACTTTGCAGAAAATATTTATTCCTATTTTTACACTTCCGATAAGAAGTCCTGCTCCGACCGCCCGATGAGTCATCTGCTTAAAAGGACCCTCCCGCGAGGGATATACCAAGACAAATGAATGATCCGTTTAAATAGGTTAAGCTGCTCACTAGCTAGATGGTTTAAACGACAAGGATTGTGCAAAAATCAAATGTTAGTTATGCTCAAGAAGAAAACATTCTTTTTAGATGGTAAAAAATATATACTATTCCATCCGTTTCAATTTTACGTAAACCTATCTCCTCTTGATTCAGTATGAACCCACTTCTATTAGAGAAACTCTTTTAATTTTAGAATTTCAATATTAACTTTAATAAAAAGCTCTTTAAACTATACAAATGATATGACATATTTAAGGACCACAGGTTTCAACAATCTTATAGCCACACAAATAATTTGGTATGTTTAGTATCATAAATTTCAAAAGTTTTCATCTTTTTAGAAAACCTTTATGCCCAATCAAATAAGTTCACATAAATTAAAAGAGATAAAGTATAAGTTACATAATTCAATTGTTAAAATCTGATATAAAAAGACGTTGTAATACGAAAGGCAAGTCAATTGAGAAAGAAGTGCATGATAGTGCACCAAGAAAGTAATTAACACTCCCATCGGTCCATAATAAGTGACTTTATAGTCTTTGGCATACCCCATAAGAAAATATGAACTTCTAAACAAAAAAAAGTATTCACTAAATTACCCTTAATTAATTATTACTTTGACACATTGGGATATGTAAATAAGGGTAAATTTTGGAAAAATAAAATTAATTCCTTCTTGATTATGTAAAATGACATTTATTTTGGACCAAAATAAAAAGGCTAAAAAGTCACTTATTATGGACCCGAGGGAGTAATAAATACTCCATCTGTCTCATATTATGTGTCGTGTTTCTCTTTTACACGCCCCTTAAGAAATATTTATTAGGAAAGGGATTGGACTATTCTACCCTTATTTATGTCTTAAGATATAATCTCTCTTCATTAAATATTTATTCTATTTATGTGTTATCTCCATCTTCAAGAACAATTATTACTAAGGATAAAAAAGGAAAAAAGCAATCAATGTTGTCTTGAATTTTGAAAATGACAAATAATTTGAGACAACTATTTTTAATAACCACGACGGTTAATATGAGACGGAGGGAGTAACCAAAAAGGAGGCCTAGAATTAATCATCTGTGAAAACTTACCAGGACAAGTGAAAAGAGCAGGATAAGAGCAACAAACGATTTCATTTGTCAGTTCAATAGGACTATCAAGTTATATATTGATCTTTGCTATATGTATGAGCTTATATAGACAGGCTAGGCTATTATAAAATCATATTGCAGGTAACAAGTTATTGTCAAGTTTCAACATGATTCACGCACTTCTGTAGGACCAAAAGATTTTGTAATATCTAATATGATACAAGACTCTATATTATCAATAAAAATACATATCTACGTAAAATGAGAGACATGCAGTAAATATAAACAAATGGAAGGAGGTCCAATTAGCTTCTTTGACACAAATATTATTGGCGACCAAATCTTTCATCCATTTCTGTTTGATATGGTTTGTTATAAATAAATCATTTAAGTAGGCTCAATTTGCTCATAAATAATGCTGTTGGGTATTCACGTTTTAGTGTTTGTAAATATCTGGCGATCAGTATTTGCGATATTGCTTTTTTGTATCTAAGATAGTGGTGAAATATTGAAAATATTTGTTCAACTGATGCTAGATCATTTCTAAGATAGCCATATGAGTTCTGCTTCTTTTTTTTTTTTTTTTTTTTTTTTTTTTTTTCTGTCTTTAACTTTTGCAGTCTAAATATTTTGCTTCAAATAAAAGAAAAAGAGAGATGATTTAAATGAAATAAATTTGCTATATATTGAAAGCAATTATGTTGCAATTTAGGCATATGAATAGAGGATGCCTATCTCGGAAAATCCCATAAACGTTTAGGATATTCACAAAGAGATCAAAACATTAAATATTGTCTTTCTCAAGTTGAAGCAATCAAAAGACGCTCTTCCTCGAAATTACCTCAAAATGTGGTTAGACGTTTTTCGACAATCAAATAATTCAAGAAGATCTACATTTGACCCTCAATTGTTGCAGTCAATTAAGGAAACAAGAAGGAGATATCAATAGAAGTGTTTCCTCGTGATCGATCCGGAGTATTGTCCGACTTTCTTGGAGATCAAATACATTATAAAGAGGTCTGCATCATTCTATGTTCGAGAAATATGCTGCTTAAGTCTTCAAATCATGGAAAACAGTTCAGAGAGGAGAATAAAGAGAACAAATAAAATTATACTCACAATTGATTAATAAAATTACTTTTCTTTTCATTTTTAATTAAAAAAAAACAGGATGGCTTATGATGCCCATGAATTAAGTAACAGTTCACCTGCTCTTCAGCTTCATTTTCTCAAACAATAACCTTTCCCATTTTGAACGGGCAAGAAACTCTTGGTAACTCAAACAATCGACACAAAGTTTGGAAATTATTTTTAAAATGCAAAAGGCACCCACTAATTATTTCTAAATATCTTTATGACGTGGGAAATTTTTTTAGCTCTTAAGTCAAAAAAGTACAATAAGTTTCTTTCACTAAATTGTCTCCTGCCGGGATTAAATATATAATTTAACATTTACAATTTCACCATAGGAAGTCGAGCAGAGTTTCAATACAATTTAAATCTTCCTTTCTGATTTTTCCTTCTCCCACTATTTACAGACATATTTCTATCCGATCAGCTAGGTAACACACGTACTATTTAACCTAAAAATTGAATATTAGGATAAAATAATTGAATTTATAAAAGTAGGGCACATGCAATTGATTCGATAAATAGCTAAATAATTAAGATAAATATGAAATAGAGTAATAAATTGACAATAAAGAGAGAAAAAGAGAAATGTTTACTATTTGATAGTCGATGGAAGCTTGATTGCCCACAGCTTGGATATAAAGCGAATGATCAATTGCCAAAAGTGAAGAAAATAATTTGCCAAGCACAATAAGATTTCTTATGTTGATTGAGACTGAAATGATCTCAGATGATCTGCAAAATGAACAAATATTGGATTTTGCAGTAACAAATACAATTTGTTGTTTCCTTAAGTCCGCTACCATATTTATTCTGGCCATTTGGATGATTTGTAATAGTTGATTTAATGCTGGATCATATAACTATGTAACGACCCGGCTGATCGTTTTGAGCATTTGCATTCAGTTCGGCGGTTTGAGGTCACAAATAGCTTCACATGGTATATTATGACTTGTGCGTATCATTAGTTTTGATTTTCGAGTGGTTCGAGATTGATTTGGATGAATGATTCTCATTTTAGAAGTTTAAGTTGGAAGAGTAGAGTAAGTTTGACATTTGCGTATTTGATCTCGGATCGGAGTTTTGATGATTCTGTTAGGTTTGTACGATGATTTTGAACTTGGGCATATGCACGAAATTGAATTCGGAGGTCCCTAGATTGATTTGACTTGTTATGCCGAAAGTTGGCAATTTAAAGGTTTAGAATTTTTCTAAGTTTGACCATGGTTTGACTTTATGGTTATCGGGTTCTGATTTTAGTTTTGGGACTTGAAATAGGTCCGTTTTGCTATTTGGATATTGTTTGCAAAGTTTAAGGTCATTTCGAGTTGATTTAATAGGAATCAGACGTGCATTTATTTTTTTAGAAGTTCTTGTCACGACCCAAAATCCAACTAATCGTGATGGCACCTAACCCAACCCGTTAGGTAAGCCAATTAACAACTATCCAAATTAATGAGATTGATTAAGAGAAGAAATGATAAAACAATTGCTTTTATACAAGAATTTTCCAAGGACTGGCAATACAAATCATGAGCTTCTAAGATTTAGTTTTTTTACAAAACTGAATTGAAATATTTATAACATATGTTTGAAATGTAGATGAATATAATTCGAATCTAATGCTACCAAGGACAAGTGATAGCCATAACTGGAATGCAGGTACATCTTCAAATACAGCTCCCACCGTACGCAGTAACATCAACGTCCAATATCTGCACATAAGGTGCAGAAGTGTAGTATGAGTACAACCGACCACATGTACTCAATAAGTAACAAACCTAACTTTAGGTTGAAAGTAGTGACGAGCTGGGACAAGAGTCAGAGTCCAACTCCAATAACCAGCCACAGTTCATAACAATATAATAAAAATAGTACAAGAAAATAACTCAGAGATAAGATGCTCAACTCGTTCACAGTTAAGAAAAATAGGCATGCTTTTCAAGCATAACAGTATATCCCAAATCTTTTATTGAAAGCACCAAAATATGAGTAAGTTTGTAAAACCGTAATTTTTCCAAAACTTTTCAACAGGTAAATGTTTCATTATCAAATAGCACGAGAAAAGTACATCTCTATGCCTACATATCAATGTGTATGAGAAGTCATGAATGACGTGATACCGTACAACATGAGGAAAATGCATCTCCATTCCTGTATGTTAAATGTGCATGTCCAATGTAATACAACACAGTGAATAAACCATATGCATACTCTCAGAGTATCAATTCACTCAGTCCTCTCAGTCACTCAGTCCTCACAGTCACTTAGTCCTCACAATCACTCAGTCTTCCCAATCACTTGGCACTCTCTCTCGGCATCACGCTCGACACTCGCACTCACACTCACACTCACTAGGTACATGCGCTAACTGTGGATGTGCATACTCCGGATGGGCAATTCCAGCCCAAGCGCTATAATAAGTTAATCATGGCATGAATCAAATAAACATGCTGCGGCGTGCAGCCGGATCCCATGAATATCCTCACAATCGGGCCCTCGACCTGACTCAGTCATCAATTTCTCCAGTCTCTCGGGCTCAAAAGAATCCTGATAATCAGTCCAACAATGATGATATGATGTAAAAATAAAGCACAACAGAGACTAAGATATGATATGCAAATAATAGTTATGACTGAGTATAAAATTCACCATGTAACACGACCTCTGAGGGTCCCAACAGTACCAGTATGTGGACTAAACATGATTTCTAGCATAAATTATAACTCAGGTGCTCTAACACATTGAGTATAGTAAAAATGTTCAGATAAGATAGCTACATAGTTCCATGGAATCGACTAAATCACAATTCACATGGTGCACACCCACATGCCCTTCACCTAGCATGTGCGTCATCTTAACATCGATCATATAACACGTAATTCAGGGTTTCCTACCCTCAACACCAAGTTTAAAAGTGTTACTTACCTGGAACAAGCCAAATCTAGTACCGAGCAAGCCAAACGATGCTCCAAAAATGCCATCCTGTGCGTATCAACCTCCGAACGGCTCGAAACTAGCCAAAAACAACTCGAATACATCAAATAATGCCTAACGAAATAATTCCAAACGATAAAGGTCGAATCTTTAATCAAAACCCCAAAGTCAACCAAAATGTGAAGCCCGGGCCCGCACATCGAAACCCGACAAAACTCATAAAATCCTATAACCCATTCAACTACGAGTCCAACCATACTAGTTTCACTCAAATCCGACTCCGAATCGATGCTCAAAACATAAAAATTCACTTTATGAAAATTTAGAAAAAAACTCCCAATTTTCTCTCTTGAAATCTTCAATCAAATGCCAAAAACGAAGATTGATTCATGAAATTAAATAAAAATCAGGTAGAGAACACTTACCCCAATCCATATGGTGAAAATCTCCTCAAACATTGCTTCAATCCGGCTCCATAGTTCCAAATATGAATAAAATAGCCAAGCCCTCGATATATAGCTTTTGCCCAGGCATCGTCGCATCTGCAACATCATTAGCTGGTTCTGCGGCGTCGCTTTTGCGACCAAAGTTCCGCTTCTATGGAGAAACATTAAAGAAATGGCCCTCGCACCTGCGGAAAAACATCCACTCCTGCGATATCGCAAGTGCGGCACTAGAACGCGCCTCTGCCCCAACGCCTGCTCATGCGCTCACAAATCTGGCTTCTGCGCTACAAATTCCACTTATGTGGAGGGAGCCTAACTCAACCTTCATATCAGGTGCGACAATACTACAGCTTCTGCGACTATCGCACCTGCGCAAAACCAGTCGCAGGTGCGAGCACACCAGATCCCACCACCAGCAGCCTTAACCAAAATTGATCCAAACGATCTGAACCTCGTTCGAAACTCTTTCGAGCAACACGGAACCTCGTCCGAATATACCAACTAGTACCCTAACATAACACGGACCTACTCGAGGCCACAAATCACACATCGAAATAACAA